ACAACATAATAAAATATCTGTCATCATGCAAGAGGGTCCGAATATGTGTCCGAGTGTTTAAACGCTAATGCATGAGAAATGGCATGTAAACACCATAATTACATATCTGCCATCATGCAAGAGGGTCCGAATAAGTGTCCGAGTGTTTGAACCCTAATGCGTGAGAAATGGCAAGTAAACACCATAATTACATAAGTGCCATCATGCTAGAAGGTCCGAATAAGTGTCTGAGTGTTTAAACCCTAATGCATGAGAAATGATAAATAAACGCTATACTTACATATCTGCCATCATGCCATAGAGTCCGAAAAAGTGTCCGAGTGTTTAAACCCTAATGCATGAGAAATGGCTAGTAAACACCATAATTACATATATGCTATCATGCAAGAGGGTCAGTGTAAGTGTCCGAGTGTTTAAATCTAAATGCCTGAGAAATGGCAAGTAAACACCATAATTACATATCTGCCATCATGCAAGAGGGTCGAATAAGCGTCTGAGTGTTTAAACCCTAATGCATGAGAAATGATAAATAAACGCTATAATTACATATCTGCCATCATGCAGGAGGGTCGGAGTAAGTGTCCGAGTGTTCAAACCCTAATGCATGAGAAATGGCAAGTAAACACCATAATTACATATCTGCCATCATGCGAGAGGGTCCGAATAAGTGTCCGAGGGTTTCAACCCTAATGCATGAGAAATGGCGATTGAACACCATAATTACATATCGGCCATCATGCAAGACGGTTCGAATAAATGTCCGAGTATTTAAACCCTACTGCATGAGATATGGCAAATAAACACGATAATTACATACCTGCCATCACACAAGAGGGTCCGAACAAGTGTCCGAATGTTTGAACCCAAATGCATGAGAAATGGCAAGTAAACGGCATAATTACAAATCTGCCATAATGCAAGAGGGTCCGAATTAGTGTCCCAGTGTTTAAACCCAACTGCATAAGAAATTGCATGTAAACACCATAATTACATATCTGCCATCATGCATGAAGGTCCGAATAAGTGTCCGAGTGTTAAAGCCCTAATGCATGAGAAAAGGCAAGTAAACACCATAATTACATATTTGCCATCATGCAAGCTGGTCCAAATACGTGTCCGAGTGTTTGAACCTTAATGCATGAGAAATGGCAAATAAACACCATAATTACGTATCTGCCACCATGCATGAGTGTCCGAATAAGTGTCCAAGTGTTTCAACCGTAATGCATGAGAAATGGCAAGTAAACACCATAATTACATATCTGCCATCATGCAAGGGGGTCCGAATACGTGTCCGAGTGTTAAAGCCCTAATGCTAGAGAAATGGTGATTAAACACCATAATTACATATCTGCCATCATGCATGAGGGTCCGAATAAGTGTCTGAGTGTTTAAACCCAAATGCATGAGAAATGATAAATAAACACCATAACTACATATCTGCCATCATGCATGAGGGTCCGAATAAGTGTCCGAGTGTTAAAGCCCTAATGCTTGAGAAATGGCAAGTAAACACCATAATTACATATTTGCCATCACGTAAGCGGGTCTGAATAAGTTTCCGAGTTTTTAAACCCTAATGCATGAGAAATGGCAAGTAAACACCATAATTACATATCTACCATCATGCAAGAGGGTCGGAATAGGTGTCCCAATGTTTAAAGCATAATGCATGAGAAATGGCAAGTAAACACCATAATTACATATCTGCATTCATGCATTGGGTTCCGAATAAGTGTCCCAGTATTTAAACCCTAATGCTTGAGAAATGGCAAATAAACACCATAATAAAATATCTGTCATCATGCAAGAGGGTCCGAATATGTGTCCGAGTGTTTAAACGCTAATGCATGAGAAATGGCATGTAAACACCATAATTACATATCTGCCATCATGCATAAGGGTCCGAATAAGTGTCCGAGGGTTTAAACCCTAATGCATGAGAAATAGCTAGTAAACACCATAATTACATATCTGCCATCATGCAAGAGGGTCAGTGTAAGTGTCCGAGTGTTTAAATCCAAATGCCTGAGAAATGGCAATTAAACAACATAATTACATACACTACAACAAGTTGGGTCTTGAATGACGAAGTTTTTTTGTCTCCAAAGAGCTAATTTCGTCACTATAGATATTTGTGAGGAAATATTTTCGTCACCAGCTTCGTCATTGAATGTTTGTCACTAAAAACCACCGTGACGAAAAATAATTTCGTCACCAATGAAATTACTTCAGTGACGAAATTTTTTGTCACCCATAAAACAATATTTTGTCGCCAAAAATTCTCATTTTCGTCACCAAATAGTTATTCAGTACCATATTTATAACTTTAGTTGACGAATAAATTTGTCACACATGTTAATCATTGATGAGGAAATAATTTCGTCACAGTAAGATGTAAAGTTGACGAAATCTTTCGTCTCCAAAAGTCATACATGGGTGACGAAATATATTTCGTCGCAAATATATATATATATGTGACGAAATTTTTGGTCACCAAACATGAAAATCAATGAAAACTTTCATATATAAGTTGCAACAAATTTTGTCACAAAAAATGTTTATTAGCGACGAATAATCACTTTGTCATAATAAAAAATACAAATGACGAAACAAATTCGTCACTAAACTTGTTCCATATTTTATATTTCAATTTAAATTATTATTTCACAAATATCCTTCCTTATATCCCAATAGCCTTTTAATTGTACTAAGAAATCTACTAGCTATTATACACCTCTACAAAAAAATTCACTTAACAATTTATATTATAAATCAAATATATCCATCAAACAACTTTAATAATAATCCATTAAGTATAACAAAAAAACCATCAAAGCAAATCCCAAAATTAACTAACGTGGAGTCCATAAAAAAAAATCAACACTCAATCTTGATTTGCAACTACAACCAAGTATCAGTTCAGGAAAAAAATAATAATTCAACACTTGATCTTCATTTGCAAGTATGTTTCCAAACGTCATCAAAAACCAATCTGCAAAGAAAATAAACGAGAAAAACATTAACATATTATCAATTACATTGTATAGACCTCTCTATCCATGTCAATACAAATTGTGTACACAATGAGTCTAGCTTAACAGCCAAAAGTTCCTTTGTACATGGCAAGCTCTTATTAATCACATCACTAACTTAGAGCAACTCCAACACTGCCTAGCAAAAATACACACAAAAATAAACACATGGTTATGTCTCTACTTTGGTTAGTGTGTGTTTTAACAAGGGTCATGCAAAGATGAACAAGCCATTTATGCAAGTTTCTAATTGATTTTGGGAGAAACAATTAGGAAATTAGCTCTTTACTTCTTTTTCTTTTTTTATTTTATTTATTGATAATGCATCACCATACTACCTGATGTTTGGAAGGGTAATAATATTTTTCAGTTTTCATCATGATGCTCACTAACTATTTATAGAGACTGACACTGACTCTTCATCTCCTACACCAATAGAAAAAGAATAACCACTTTGATTGTTATTAGTATAAATGGTTGGATTACTATACAGATATGACATATACATGGAATCAATAAATCCAAAATGAAAATCTTAAATGCGTGGCCAAAATCTTAAAACGAAAACTACCTCTCAACCAACAGCTAAATAAGAAGGATACAAGAATATTGTAACTAGACTAAATCACAAATCACATGATGCAGCACTTTAACATCAATCCAATGTTAATTAACAAATCTCAGAGTCTCCAAAGAAACTCTTACCGTACTTCTTAAAGATCTGAGCCACAGTACTCCCACCCAGAAACTCCTCAAATGTGTTTGTCACTGAAACAAATAAAGATATGGGATATAATTGTTAATGAACAATTTCCAAGCCAATAGCTTTAATTTGATTTACCTTAACACAAGAGTATTAAACTAAGATAATTTTCAAGTGTAAACTAACAAGAGACAATAATTGAAGAATGAGTAGAAGAAAACATAAAGAGGGAAAAAAAAAAAAAAAAAATTCCAGCTCTCTTTGGAGGTTTCTCCATTTGCCTTCTCCATGAGACTTTGTCACAGTGAAGTAAAGAACAACTAATAAACTATACTACAAAGTTGTATTAGAAGAGAATGTGATATTTTGATCATTAGGTTGCTCAAGAAATTACAGTAACTGGTTGTATCGAATGCCATAGAAGTAAATCACTACTTCAGAAGTAAATTCCCTCCTCAAACCCTTGATGCAAGCACAATCTGAATAAATAGAAGCAAAGAGAATAAGAATTTACATCTACAACTACATCACCTAGGCATTAACCCAATTTAAGAATCATAACTATGCAAATGCGATCTATCAATTATAGTATTGCCTAAAATTAAATTAACACCAGTGATTATAATTTGGCACATGCACACTTCAAATCAACCACAAGACATTTGCAATATATTTTGAAATAAACCAAAATTCCTCAATATCATATGTAAAAAATTTAAACTGATATTTTAGGTATGGGGCAAGTCATATTTCAACCACCTTTAATATTAGAAATTCTTTGATATTTTTTGTCCTTTGTGCAAAACTCATGTTCAAAATCTCAATTTCAAAAGCTAATTTTTTTTTAAAAAAAAAAAAGAAAAAACACACACACACACACACACATATTTTACAATTGGCGCATTGTTACCATTTGAAGCAGTTCTTAGCATTCAATCAACTCCTATCATGTTAGCACTTCCCTCTAAAACTACTCAAATAGTTTCACTAAGCAAAACAAACTGCAAATAGAGAATATCATTTTCCATTGACTACTACTCAATGAGCTTAATGCTATTTTTCCTGAACCTAGAATGTGAAAGGAAAGTTCTCCCACACAAAATAGCACCAAAAAATGGCATGAGATAAAAGAGCATGCAGCAAATAGTGTACTGTATTAGATATCATAAAATGACAAGCTTTTTGAAAAGAATAACAATTATTAGACAGCTATTCTAATATGCAATAAAGTTGAATATTATAATTTCTCCTTACCATTCTCCCAGCAGTCGCAGAATTTAACTGAAGATTTTCTTCATCGATCAATTCATGATGGTCAATAGCTTTGTCATCTTCAATCTCTTGAGCATATACTTTATTGCACAGAGAAACTACAAGAACAATAAGTGTGATTAGAAGAGGTATTCCACATGACAAAGTATTTTTTCTTATTCACAGAAAAATCTATAGGGACTACATAGATAGCTACAAGAAAACTGTAGGAACATGAGAAAGATCAAAAGCCTTGCAAAATAATACTTTACAAATGTTGTTCTGGTGTTTTTTTATTTTTACTTTTTATGCCCAGACACATACTATGACAAATAGTAAAAAGCAAATCATAGACATACTATGCAATAAATTCAAAATTTTGATGCAATTTCTTTTTTAAAAATACGAATTTTTGAATATTTTTTTATTCGTTTCTACTACACAAAAAATTCAAAACTTTTTTTACTTTCAGCTTTTTCATTGTAAAAATAGAGACCAACCACACATAAGTTTCTGGAAACATCAAGAGTTCTCTTCCTATATCCTGAAAATCCAAAACATCAGATTTTTTTTTTTTTTTTTTTTTTTTTGCACACCAAAAAACTACAACCATGTGGAAATTTTGAAATCAAGAAATGCCCCATTGAAAGCAAAGTCTGTATAAACTTAAACACATGAAGTTGAAAAGGAGAAACTAGAGTCCAAACTTCAAGTAATTGACAAAACAAATAGAAGTAGCAACACATAGTTTTAATGAATTCTTGTACCTAAAACCAGATATCCAAAGTCCGATATGACAGACTGACAGTCTTTCACTAGAAAACTTCATGAAATTGAGCAGTAGTTTATATATTTCAAACTGTGACTATTAAGCTTCTAATTTATCCATGAATTTTATTTATATTTGTTTAAAAAATCCCAAGTTGTTACAATATATTTTAAACTATGACTATTACAATATTTTCAGTGCATTTTATAGAAACTTGTTTAAAAATCTCAAGTCTATTGTCATATGATTAGGATACATAAAACCCAGAGATTAATATGCGATATCTCACAATAGCTGAAAAACTTGACACAAATTGTACCACAACCATAAAAACTAATCTAAAATATAAAAATATATGGCCTTTATTGACACCACCAAGAGATCTTATCTAAAAGTTTTCATGTAATTACTAAGATACACCACTTGCAGATTCATGAAAATTTTTAAAAAGAGTTTGGTTATTAATGATGTAAAAGTTTACCATAGATGATTTTATAATTATTTTTAGAAATTACACTGAATTGGGGAAAAAATTTAGAAGAAGAGGAAGAAGCAGATGACCTTGGAAGCATTCAACCTGACTCGACTCCAGCGAGAAGCTGCGGTCTCTGGTTTGGAGAAATTGAAGAATGTAATCGTACTGTGATTCAACCGAGCATAATCGATCGCTTGCCACCTTCAAAAGCATATATAAACAAACATCTCTATTGTAATTGATTTGAGCTTATACATATATACATACATATTAAAAAAAAAATCAAAAACCCCAACCAAAAATCGTTGAATCAAATGCCCTAATTCAAAACCCCCAACCAAAAATCGTTGAATTGAAATCCAAAATAGTTTAATCAAATGCCCTAATTTAAGAAGGGAAGGGTTTCAGAAAAGAAAAGAAACAAACTCTAGGTTTAGAACCTTACCAAAATTGCAGGTCTTTCCCAAGCCAATGAGTTTCAAAAGGTTGTAAGGGAAATGAAGAGCACCGTCTATAGCGCAGAGGGTGGGTGTCTATTGGTGAAGAGGATCCGAATTCGGGGAAGAGGTGGAGACACAAAGGTTGTGCCGATGAGGTGTTTATTGTTCTGAGAGAGAGAGAGAGAGAGAGAGACAGAGCGTGAATCACAAAAGAGAGAAGAAAAGAAGAAACTGTTGCGCGTGTGTGAGGGTGGGAACTCTCTAATGTGTAAAATGATCTCAGCCATTTGTTTGTTGTTTGGAAAGATCTGTGGACCATTCTAATCAATTATAAAGGGTATATATTTTCATATAATGGATCAATTATAAAGGATATATATCTCGTTTTGATTAGAAGTAGCCAAAGAGTTAAATGTATTTTGAATATTTTTTTTTTAATTTATGTTTTGGTGTTGGGGCTTTTTTTAAAAAAAAAAATTGGGAATTGTATATTTTATATAAAAATCAAATTGGAATATTTTATACAAATACACCTATATATAATGACACTTACTTAAAAAGTGTGAATAAAAAGTAGTAATGTATATATAATCACACTTTAATTAGAAGGTGTTATTAAAAAATATATAAATAATCACACTTTAATTAGAATGTGCCGGCCGGCGACGCGTGGGTTAGCCGGTGCGACCAAGATGGATGGATGGTGTGAAGGAGATGGATGGGTGAGGGAGTAAAAGAGAAAGTAAAAGAGATGCATCCTAACAGAGATATATCTCTCTTGTTCAATTTTATTTTTTATTGATTTCAAATATTTGGTGATGAAATTTGATTTTTCTCTCTAAAAATAATATATTTGGAGATAAAATTATTTCCTCTCTAAAATTTTTTACAATAGTGACAAAAAATTTCGTCTCCAAAATGGCGCCTAATCTTCCGTCAAATTTTCCAAGGGCGGGAAATTGTTTTGTGACGAAAAATAAAATTTAGAGACGAATAGAATTTTCGTCACCTATTGTTTTATTTGATTTTAAGCATTTGGTGACGAAATTTGGTTTTCGTCTTTAAAAATAATACAATTGGAGAAAAAATCTTATTTTCATCACTAAAACATATATATTTGGAGACGAAATATTTTTTTGTCATGCGTTTTTGTCACCATAGACCTTTTTTGTTGTAGTGATATCTGCCATCATGCAAGAGGGTCCGAATAAGTGTCCGAGTGTTTAAATCCTAATGTGTGAGAAATGGCAAGTAAACACCATAATTACATATCTGCCATCATGCTAGAAGGTCTGAATAAGTGTCTTAGTGTTTAAACCCTAATGCATGAGAAATGATAAATAAACGCTATAATTACATATCTGCCATCATGCAGGAGGGTTGGAGTATGTGTCCGAGTGTTCAAACCCTAATGCATGAGAAATGGCGATTAAACACCATAATTACATATCTGCCATCAAGCGAGAGGGTCCGAATAAGTGTCCGAGGGTTTCAACCCTAATGCATGAGAAATGGCAAGTAAACACCATAATTACATATCGGCCATCATGCAAGAGGGTTCGAATAAATGTCCGAGTATTTAAACCCTACTGCATGAGATATGGCAAGTAAACGCCATAATTACATTTCTGCCATAATGCAAGAGGGTCCGAATAAGTGTCCCAGTGTTTAAACCCAACTGCATGAGAAATGGCAAGTAAACACCATAATTACATATCTGCCATCATGCCTGAGGGTCCGAATAAGTGTCCGAGTGTTAAAGCCCTAATGCATGAGAAAAGGAAAGTAAACACCATAATTACATATTTGCCATCATGCAAGGAGGTCCAAATACGTGTCCGAGTGTTTGAACCCTAATGCATGAGAAATGGCAAATAAACACCATAATTACATATCTGCCACCATGCATGAGTGTCCGAATAAGTGTCCGAGTGTTTCAACCCTAATGCATGAGAAATGGCAAGTAAACACCATAATTACATATCTGCCATCATGCAAGGGGGTCCGAATACGTGTCCGAGTGTTTGAACCCTAATGCATGAGAAATGGCAAATAAACACCACAATTACATACCTGCCATCATGCGAGGGGTCTGAATATGTGTCCAAGTATTTAAACCCTAATGCATGAGAAATGGCAAATAAACACCATAATTACATACCTGCCATCATGCCCGAGGGTCCGAAAAAGTGTCCGAGTGTTTAAACCCTAATGCATGAGAAATGGCAAATAAACACCATAATTACATATCTGCCATCAGGCAAGAGGGTCCGAGTAAGTGTCCGAGTGTTAAAGCCCTAATACATGGGAAATGTTCATTAAGCACCATAATTACATATCTGCCATCATGCAAGAGGGTCGAATAAGTGTTTGGGTGTTTAAACCCTAATGCATGAGAAATGATAAATAAACACCATAATTACATATCTACCATCATGCATGAGGGTCTGAATAAGTGTCCGAGTGTTAAAGCCATAATGCATGAGAAATTGCAAGTAAACACCATAATTACATATCTGCCATCATGCAAGAAGGTCCGAATAAGTGTCTGAGTGTTTAAACCCTAATGCATGAGAAATGATAAATAAACGCTATAATTACATATCTGCCATCATACAGGAGGGTCGGAGTAAGTGTCCGAGTGTTCAAACCCTAATGCCTGAGAAATGGCGATTAAACACCATAATTACATATCTGCCATCATACGAGAGGGTCCGAATAAGTGTCCGAGGGTTTCAACCTTAATGCATGAGAAATGGCAAGTACACACCATAATTACATACCGGCCATCATGCAAGAGGGTTCGAATAAGTGTCCGGGTATTTAAACCCTACTGCATGAGATATGGCAAATAAACACGATAATTACATACCCGACATCACGCAAGAGGGTCCGAATAAGTGTCCGAGTGTTTAAACCCTAATGCATGAGAAATGGAAAATAAAGACCATAATTACATATCTGGCATCATGCAAGAGGGTCCGAATAAGTGTCCGAGTGTTTAAACCCTAATGCATGAGAAATGGCAAGTAAACAGCATAATTACATATCTGCCATCATGCAAGAGGGTCCGAATAAGTGTCCAAGTGTTTAAATCCCACTGCATGAGAAATGGCTAGTAAACACCATAATTACATATCTGCCATCATGCAAGATTGTCAGAGTAAGTGTCCGAGTGTTTAAACCCTAATGCACGAGAAATAGCAATTAAACACCATAATTACATATCTGCCATCATGTTAGATGGTCCGAATAAGTGTCCAAGGGTTTCAACCCTAATGCATGAGAAATGGCAAGTAAACACAATAATTACATATCTGCCATCATGCAAGAGGGTCCGAACAAGTGTCCGAGTGTTTAAACCCTAATGCATGAGAAATGGCAAGTAAATGCCATAATTACATATCTGCCATAATGCAAGAGGGTCCGAATAAGTGTCCCAGTGTTAAAGCCATACTGCATGAGAAATGGCAAGTAAACACCATAATTACATATTTGCCATCATGCAAGGGGGTCCAAATACGTGTCCGAGTGTTTGAACCCTAATGCATGAGAAATGGCAAATAAACACCATAATTACATATCAGCCTCCATGCATGAGTGTCCGAATAAGTGTCCGAGTGTTTCAACCCTAATCCATGAGAAATGGCAAGTAAACACCATAATTACATATCTGCCATCATGCAAGGGGTCCGAATACGTGTCCGAGTGTTTGAACCCTAATGCATGAGAAATGGCAAATAAACACCATAATTACATACCTGCCATCATGCGAGAGGGTCCGAATAAGTGTCCGAGTGTTTAAACCCTAATGCATGAGAAATGGCAAATAAACACCATAATTACGTATCTGCCATCATGCAGTAGGGTCTGAATAAGTGTCCGAGTATTTGAACCCTAATGTACAAGAAATGGCAAATAAACACAATAATTACATATTTGCCATCATGCAAGAGGGTCCGAACAAGTGTCCGAGTGTTTAAACCCTAATGCATGAGAAATGGCAAGTAAATGCCATAATTACATATCTGCCATATTGCAAGAGGGTCCGAATAAGTGTCCCAGTGTTAAAGCCCTACTGCATGAGAAATGGCAAGTAAACACCATAATTACAAATTTGCCATCATGGAAGGGGGTCCAAATACGTGTCCGAGTGTTTGAACCCTAATGCATGAGAAATGGCAAATAAACACCATAATTACATATCTGCCACCATGCATGAGTGTCCGAATAAGTGTCCGAGTGTTTCAACCCTAATGCAAGAGAAATGGCAAGTAAACACCATAATTACATATCTGCTATCATGCATGGGGGTCCGAATACGTGTCCGAGTGTTTGAACCCTAATGCATGAGAAATGGAAAATAAACACCATAATTACATACCTGCCATCATGCGAGAGGGTCTGAATATGTGTCCAAGTATTTAAACCCTAATGCATGAGAAATGGCAAGTAAACACCGTAATTACATATCTGTCATCATGCAAGAGGGTCTGAATATGTGTCCAAGTATTTGAACCCAAATGTATGAGAAGTGGCTAGTAAACACCATAATTACTATTCACCCAAAAAAAACACCATAATTACATATCTGCCATCATGCAAGAGGATTCGAATACGTTTCCGCGTGTTCAAATCCTAATGCATGAGAAATGTCAAGTGAACACCACAATTACATATCAGCCATTATGCAAGAGCGTCCGAATAACTGTCCGAGTGTTCGAACGCTAATGCATGAGAAATGGCATGTAAACACCATAACTACATATCTGCCATCGTGCATGAGGGTCAGAATAAGTTTCCGAGTGTTTAAGCCCTAATGCATGAAAAATGGCAAATAAACACCATAATTACATATCTGCCATCATGCAAGAGGGTCCGAATAAGTGTCCGAGGGTTTCAACCCTAATGCATGAGAAATGGCAAGTAAACACCATAATTACATATCTGGCGTCATACAACACGGTCTGAATAAGTGTCCTAGAGTTTAAACCCTACTGCATGAGAAATGTGAAGTAAACACCATAATTACATATCTGCGATCATGCAAGAGGGTCGGAGTAAGTGTCCGAGTGTTTAAGCCCTAATGCATGAGAAATGGCGATTAAACACCATAATTACATATCTGCCGTCATGCAAGAGGGTCCGAATAAGTGTCCGAGGGTTTCAACCCTAATGCATGAGAAATGGCA